CGTATTGAACCTTTATGTCATAAATAATTTTTTTTTAATTGTTTTGGTTAAAAAAAATATACGTTTTTTTCCTCAAAATTTAATACCGAAAGACAAGCTTGTGAAACATCAGTGGAATCCAAATCAGGTTGAAGCAATTTTTCGGTGGTTAATGTGATGTGTATATCACCTTTGGCTTGAATGAAGTTGAAGAAAGCTCTGATCGAAAATAAGAAGTGGAGAAATTGGTGAAGATGGAACTGGAATAGGGGAATCTGATTCTGAGAAACGAGAAGCTATGTCTTGAAATGGGCCTTGATTATTATTGAAGTTCAATTATGAAAAAGTTTCGAATGCATAGTCGGATAAAGGGTCATCGTTGCCGGAGGAAATATCTGGATATGCTTGCTGTGAAGTTGGAGAAATGGTTGTCAATGTGGAAACCCATTTGGTAGGAATCTCCATAGGATCAAATGCATAAATCTCCGATGTATTGGAGAGAGAGAGAGAGAGAGAGAGAGAGAGAGAGAGAGAGAGAGAGAGAGAGAGAGAGAGAGAGAGAGAGAGAGAGAGAGAGATTTTATTATTATTATTATTATTCAAAATCTATCTTTAACTGGTGAAACAGAGAAAAATAAAATTTAATACCCATTTAACGAGTTAATTCTAAGTTTAAAGACTTATACTATATTTAAAAAAATGAAATAAATGAAATGTTTTTTAAACAAAACCCAAAAGTTAATTGGGCTATATTGATATTAACCTTAACATTAACATTTAATGATAATGAAAATAAATGAAAGGTGAAAATACCTAATACATTTGGTTGTGAAATGAATATTTCAAAATTCAAATTGTCGCACAACTTTTTCTAAGTGGCATGCATGACAATTCCCATAATTATTTTTCTCAAAAAAATTCCGTACCAAAAGTTTATTGACTAAATAACGTCCACTACATAAGTTCCATGAAATACGAATATTACATAATTGCCAAACATAAAATTAGAAAAGCTTAGCTTATAAGGCTATGGGGATCAACTCCATGGATACAAAGATGTCGATGTCCGAGTCAAAGGCAGTAAAACCAGGGCCAAAAATAGACGTGTAATCATCAGGTCAACCCAATCACACCCTTTATACCTCCTTCTACTTCCACATATCACCACAACAATCGTCGTTTATACCTCTTCTCCTAATCCCAGAATTCTATCACAACATTCACCAACAACATGTCCAACAACATGAGTGCCGGACAAGCCTATGGCCATGCTCAGGTATATGTATATATATGCTAACCTAACTTAACATTAACGATATTGATCATTCTGGTCGTTTATTACTTAACATGTTCGTTTGATGTAGGCTAAAGCCGAAAATGTAGCCGGTGCAGCCAAGGACACCGCCAACAAAGCCCAGGACAAGGCTGCTGATGCCGCCAATGAGGCAGGAGGTCAGGCTCAGCTCCGCAAGGAAGAGGCCTCTAGCATCCTCCAGCAGGTTATATATTAATTAGCAACCATAGATCTCTTTCTGTTTCTTGATTTGATTGTTGAAATGATGAAAAACTTTCGATGGTTGATTACAGACCGGAGAGCAGGTGGCGAACATGGCTCAAGGTGCTTATGATGGTGTCAAGAACACACTTGGCGTCGGTGAAACCCAACAGAAGAAGTGAAGGGTCAAACTTACTTTGTTTGACATTGCTTCACAATAAATGTCTTTTAGCATAATCGAAATGCGTTTCTTTTTGTTTTCTAGGGTTTGAATAACATGTATAGATTCATAGTTTCAATCAAAATAACAATGTATATATTACACAATAAAAGAATGAAATTTACATTCAAAATAAAAAACAATGTGTCTATGCCATCATCTTCTTAAACTCTTGGAAATCAAGAAAACCATCAGAATTGGCATCATATGCTTTGATCATACTTTTCACATCCATAGAACCCCTCTCGTCCCATAATCCCAAGCTTGATAACGCCTCCTGGAGCTCTTCATTACAGATGAGTCCATCACGGTTCCTATCAAACACCTCAAAAGCCTTGAAAAGATCACTCTCTGAATCTTTCTCGGTGTCCTTCCCTTCTATGGTGATTGTATAAAAGTCCAAAAACTCGGGAAAACTAAGACCCATTTTCCCTGTTAAGGATTGTAGCTCGTCGACACTTGAAGAGATTTTCATGGTGTCAAGAAGCCATTGGAGCTCGTTGGGGCTCACAAGGTCATCTCCATTTTGGTCTAATTTCTTGAACAGACGATATAGATCGTTGTAGCTAAGAGAAGACATTGTACAAAGGTAAATATGTAGAGAGAATATATATGATGAGAATCACTTGTGATCGAAAGATATATATATAGAGAGAGAGAGAGAGATTATATTAGTGGTATAAAATATGAGCTAGAACAAGTCAGATATATTGGAGAATAAGGAAGACGGCATTTGGTGCCGTATTTCGTTTTGTTGAAACCTTCTAATTTAGGCATCGTACATCCCACTTGCTGCCAAATTACTTGGACTTTTACTTTGAATGCACAAAGAATATTTAAAGGTTATATATATATATATATATATATATATATATATATATATATATATATATATATATATATATATATATATATATATATATATATATATATACATACACACACACAGAGAGGTTCAATTGAGAAAAAAAGGTTGAGAATGGGACAATTATTCTCAACCAATCATTTATTTTTACCGGAAAAGCCTCTAACGTACTGGCGAAAATGAAAATAACTGCACATGTGTTTTCCAACAAAACTTGTTTCCTTATATTATGCTCATCATTATTTTAATATGTACAAAAATATAGTTTTTTTTTATTTTTTCTATTTTTTAAGGAATTATTTTTATCGAAAAATAATTTTAAATATATCAAAATTCATAATTTTTTATTCTCTATAAATAGACATCTATATTGATATAGTTTTAAGATAAAATAAAAATTTTATTTTTATTATAGTTTCAGCTTTCGCTATTCATAAGTAAATAAAAACGAATCGGTTTTTTACAACAGTACATCGTTATTTACTTATGAATAAAAAGTATGATTTTTTTTTTTTTTTACAGTTTAGTATCATTCATATTTGAATATATCATATAATAAACATAGTATATTCATATTTAAATATTAGACGATGTATTCACTTTTGAATATTACGTAGTATATTCACTTGTGAATGTTAGATGATATATTCACTTATAAATATTAGATGATATTTTCATATGTGAATATTATATAGTATTACATGGTATATCATATGAGAATAGTACATAGTATATTCACTTGTAAATATTGGATCGTATATTCAGTTATGAATAATTGTTGGTATATTCATATGTGAATATTGCACAGTATTTCATATATGAATATTACAAGGTGTTTTCATAAATATATATAATTTTTATATGTTATCCAGATATGAATAACATACAGACTTGTATATTTATTTTGTGTTTTAATAATCACATATTGATTCAGGTGAGAAAACATATTCATATGTAACTATAACGTGGTAATTTAGTTTATTCAATTCATAAAAAAGTTGGAGTGCATACAAGTTAACTTTTTAAAAATGTGATAAATATGATATTTTGACTATTTAAATCTTACAAAATAGTAGATTGGTGGAGAAATATATGAAAATTTTCAAACAAAAAATGATTTGATCTTTTTCTAACCTTAATTTCGATGTTTTATTTGATGATCAATGTTGAATGAATGATACGAATTGAATTTTTTGTTGATTATCGATGATGTTGTTCTAATGATGTTGGGAGTATAATTAATTGTAGATGTTAAAGATATGTTCGTATTCAAGCAGAAATGAAGGTTGGATTGAAAGAGCAAAAAACGAATTTTTATTGTCAACACATGTTATTGACGAATATCGATGATTGATTAACACAGGATGACGTTGATCGATGATTTAATTGAAGAAATTTGAATAATTGTTGAAGGTTGGAAGAGAAATTCAGATAATAAACGATCGATTAGAATGAATTTCAACTATTATCTAATTTTCTACACTTACGTATTTGTGACTGAAGACTATTATATCATATTTACAAGTTTGTCACTGTATCCTTTATGTTTAGAGGCTAATTAAATGAGTGGCTGAGAATGATTCCCCATTCTCAACCTTTGTTATATTCTCAATTGAACTCACCTATATATATATATATATATATATATATATATATATATATATATATATATATATATATATATATATATGAGAAAATTCGGACAATAAGCAAAAAATTATATTGGTTTGAAGAAAATAACAAAGCAAAATCAAATTTTGGAAAATGACAACAGGATCTGCAGAGCACCCTCTGTGGAACCATTAAATGCTTTGCGGATCCTCTACTGCTCTGCGAAATTGCTGTTTTTTTATTTTAAATTTTAATTTTTTTTCGTTTTTTCATTTTTTTTGCGTTCATTTTTGTTTATTAATTTTAATTTTTTTAAATACACTAATACCTTATGTGATTATGTAAATAATTTGATAAAAAAGGGTTAAAAATAATAAACTTATGTTTGATATCAGTCCACATAACTCTTTGGGAATCCACCCTTAACGGATCCAGCAAAGCCTCTGCGGATCCAGCTACAGCTCTGCAGAATATTGGTTTTTTTATTTTTTTTTTAGTTTTTTTTTTTTAGTTTTTTTGCGTTCATTTTCGTTTAGTAATATTATTTTTTTTAAATACACTTATACCTTATGTGATTATTATGTAAAAAATTTGACAAAAAAAATTAAAAATAATGAAATATTTTATGTAATACGTTTGCTACCTATGTATATTTTCATGTATTTGTACTTATAAATAACGTAATACAAACCAGTGCATATAAATATTCCATGTTTTTTATAGGTTACAAAACATACCTTAGAAAACATAAACATACAACCTTCATAATCAACATACAACCTTCATAATAAACATACTTTGAAATAAACTTCACTTATTCAAATAGAACCATGAAAACTTTGATATGTTTTCGTATTCCATCCACGGGTTATCTGTTGCTTGTGTCCCGAGGTTTACTGTCTCTTGCGTCCATTGGTTATCTGGCTCTTGTTGCCATCGGTACTCGGTGCAACCCTGCCATTGGTTATGTGGCTCTTCCTGTGGTTGGTATTCGGTCTCTTGCGCCCATTGGTTATGTGGCTCCTATTGCCATTGATGTTCGGTTTGTTGTGTCCATTGGTTGTCTGGATGCTGTTGCCATTGATGTTCGATATGTTGTGTCCATTGGTTGTCTAGCTGCTATTGCCATTGTTGTTCGATATGTTGCGTCCATTGGTTCTCTGGCTCATGGTGCCGTTGGTTTTCGGTCGCTTGCATCAGTTCCTCTTTTGTCGCTTTTGTCCCATTCCCTGACGCTCTGATACGTTTTTTAGTTTTATTTGGTTCTTTGGAACGATTTCCTTACACGTCCTTGCATTATGAGTTGTGCTATGGCATCTAGTACACCTTTTTATTTTTGGTTCCTCACCTTGAGATTGAATACGATTGGTGTTTTTTGGTCTACCGGAGTGACATATTGATAGGTTTTATGTAAAACAAATAAACTAGAAAACAATTCCTAAGTTCACATGCAACCTACTTTGGATCTATGTTTTAACTATTGAGCATATAACTTTGAATTGAAAAACAATAACCCTAGAGGAGAGAGGCTATTATCAAAAATACCAAACTAGGGTTTAGGAGTTACATAACTTTTAATTGTTATAGCAAACAATTGACAGTCCTCTTGATCTGGATCTTGATCTTCTTGGAAGCTTAGCACCACAAATGTAATGCCTCTAATGGAATCACACCCAAGAACTAGCAAGAAGGAAACTTGAAGGAGAGAGGGTAGAGGGAGTATGCAATTTTTGGCCCTAGGGTTTCTTCCAAGAGGGAGTGGCTGATTTTAGGAGCTGGGAGACTCCTTATATAGCTGAGGGATCTAGGGTTTAGGGAAAACCCTAATGCTCCTTTACTTAGGGCCTAAGCAAACCCAAGGGCCTTATCTAAAACCCCTTAGACGAAATCCTTAGGGTTTCCCCCATAGATTTCATCCACCCCCTTCCAAGGAGGTTCTGGAGCCTTCCACTCAACTATTTGATAATTGCAAACTAATCCCTGCACATTATAATTAATAATTTTAACCCTAAAATTAATTCTGATTAATTTCTGGCTAACTATTAATTTAAACATAATGATTCCTAATTAATATATTAATCTTTTAACATATTAATAAATCATTTATATTGATTTATTAATCTTATAATAAATCAATATCTCTCCTTTCATAATTTCCTTGTCCGGTTGCTAGGTTTGAGGGCAACCCAAAAGGACTGTGCTACTATCAATTCAAGTACACACCAATTATAGTTATAGGCTTAGACACCTACTCCAACTGTCTCCCACTTGGATAAGTCTGTAACTATAATTGCTAGTATGACTTCTAAATTTGACCATCAAATTGTAGCTTCCAAAAGCTACTGCCGAACTCCGACCCAGTAAGTTATGTGTCCTAAGATAAGTGATCACATGACCCTTCGTTCTACTAGATATCACTAGACATAAGACAAGGAATAAAATCAATCTCTTTGTCCAAAACCTATGTTTCCCGATTTCTGATTTGTGATGATATATGACTTCTAATCGAACACATCAACTTAGTCCCAGCTGGGCTGCAACACAAAAGTCAACACCAAATCATCGAGGGGCCCACATATATCGCTTTTCCTGTTAGGGCAAAAGGAACGAATAAACATTGACTCATATGCTTGTATCTTTTACTCATCAAACCATACATAACAATACGTTTTATAACACCAAGTTACTGATGCATTTTCGTATCACCAATGTACAACCGACTTGCAAATTACAACTCATATATCTCTGTTTCAAGATCATAGATATTATCATCTCAGTATTACTCGTGATGAATTCCATGAAGTAATACTCTGAGCGTGGGTTTATCCAATACTCAAATCTCACTCTCTGAGTATTCATGAACATTGTAGCAATTCTATTGCTATGTCTATCCTTAGACAATCTGGAATCTTATTGATGACAGTCTTGATTCACTACTTACTTCCAAAAGTACGAGCGACTGTGGAGTTTGAATAATCTTATTATTCAGGAATTCAAAACATGCTAAGTGAAACGCAATAATAATATTAATCCTATATGGACCCAGAGCTTTTGAGTGTAAATAAAACACTTTTATTTAAACACCATATTGATTACTCATTATTCATTGCTTACTGTTTCAGAAAATCAACTTATTACTCGAATTATAACCACAATTGGCCCATGCTCCAAGCTTGCACACTTTGGTTTCCTATGGTCCATACTTTGTGAAATTGAAAAACATTTTTCATTTCACAATCCCCAATCCTTATTATTAGTATAAGAATAACAAATTCTTACCACTTTTAGAATATGTCAGATTCTAACATTTTATGCAATGATTCTTTCGTATTGTCATAGCACAAAAGTTACCAAGACTCGACTAATGAAATTACAAGGTATTCTATCGGAAATTGTTACAAGACAATTCCATAGACGTGAATTCTCACATTCAAAGTACATTCCTTTGAACATCCTACTCGCATAAAAGTTTCTAATCTAGACATAGATTCTCAATATCCAACTCCCAATATGGAAACATTTCCACATTCGCCATATGGCAACTCATTCTTAATAGAATCTTATTTATAATAATGTCGATATGGTCCATTCAGTACTATACTTCCAAATACTCACAAGCAACAAATCCTCAGTGAACCTCAGATTGTCCTTTGATAGTTGTTTAATTATTTTAGTCAAAATCGATTCTAGTCCCTTTTTCCCTCTTAATTCCCTAGGCATTTGAAAAATTTTAGAATGGTCAAATATTATAGCATTTGCAATCGATCCTATACCCGAAGCGTATGGGACACGATGTATAATGTCTTACATAAAGATATGATACTTTATCAATCTTCTGCTATAATATTTTATGTATTACGTTCTCACAATTCTAGCTATGAAGAGGGATGTCGTAATCATAATCGAAATTTGAGAACACTCTATGTATCCTTTGACTAAATTTATTAAAATTTCTCAATCTAAGCTTTAGATTTTGAAACAAAGTATAATGTTCACTCCCTTAATTATAGCAAAACAACTTTTCAACCATTGCAACTTTGCAAAGCGAATCTTTATTTTCTATAATTAATATTGCTAACTTGCAATACTTACCATAATAATCATGCTCCCACTAACATGATGATTATTTTCTTACCAGCATAACACTTATGCTCCCACGAGCTTTGACATGTATTCAGAAAACAATTTAACTTCCAGAGAACAATGCTTATTGAATTCCTTAAGTTCATATTTCTAATACCTAATGCTTTGATAAGCCTTTATCAAAGCTTCTTAAACTCATATCTTCCAAGTAGTTTAGCAACTTACCCTTACATATCAATGTACTTTCCATCGATCAAGGCGCTTTGTCTTTATGCATTCAAATGAGAACTTATAGAACTCACATACATAATTAACTCAATTGGAATGGCACAGAAACAAAATAATGTCAACACGATAGGTTGTAAACCTCAAGTCGTGTGCTAGTGATGATTGATAAGGTTTATTCTTTATTTGTTCTTGAAACCTTTTTTTCAAGATCATTAAAACTCCTACTGACCTCTTGACATATATGATTCTCTTGTCAGGAAACTTTCCTAGGCAAAACAAATATTCAAGAGTTAGTGTAGTTCTTATCATGACAAAACATTTCACACTAGTTGGTCTTTGTCTTATCCAAGACATCACAACTTACCAATTTCAAATGTGCAAGAATAAGAAAACTTTTCAAAATTCCACATTTGATGAGTGTTATAAACCTTCTCGAGACTTGTCACTCAATTCACAATCTTGGAGTATAACTCTAAGACTTGACGTTGGAACGAAGTATGATTGACTTCTTGATTTTAACCATTTCCACAATTCTTGATTCCTCTTCTTAGACATGCAAATGCATTAAGACTTACTTAGAGGATCAATTGAGATATGGTTCCTAATCATTAAGAGTTATCATAAAACACAATAAAAGTACTCTCCCTTCTTCTTAGAATAGAGAAACTTTTATTTTTCTGCCTACTTGATTCTTCTTTATTCGTTCTGTTATTCATTGAAACTCTTTCAATCAACTCAGATTTACACTTAATCTTATAAATATAATCATATTTACCATACTTTAGTAAATCATGACGAATATCTTATCTATTTTGCGGTGGACTTGATCAACGCACAACCTAGTGCACTCGATCTCCTAGTCCTTCACTTGACACTTTGTCAAAAAATCAGTCTAATTTCTAAATATGAAAGTTTTTCATTCATCACGTAACCAAGTTGCATGATTCCAAGTTTCTATCCAATTGAAACTTGGGCGATGAGAAACTATCCCTATTTGGTAAATTCTCGACATTTCCACAAATAACATAATTAAGAATCAAATCCATTATTGCTAATAATAGAAACTTTCAAACATCAAGTTTTTGTTTTTATACATGCCATTGCAAGGATAAATAAATAAGATAAAAACCAAAACTTTATTTTATTGCGGAAAAATTTGTCCTTACAATGCAATTCAATTGAAAAACTACGTTATTAGCAATCTATTCTAACTCCAAGTAGTAGCTAAAGAATCCAATCTTCAAGCAATGCAATCGAAATCCATTTCTTGAAGATTAGATTCAACTTACTTCTTCCCTTAAGCTTCTGTAACGCCCGCGTTTCCAGACTAAGCATTTTCGTTGATTTAATATTCTAGGTTAACCTTTGTAACCCGTTTTCAAATACTAAGAGCATATTATTTGAGTATTATGTGTTTTGTGCTTAATTGCTTAATTATGTGATTTGATTAATTAAGAATAAAATAAGAGACAAAATTGAAGTGTAAAATAAACTCAATATCTTTACATAAAGTTGTAGTGCTCGAAACAAGGATTCCGGAGATATAAAGAATGCCGAAATCCGAGTTATAACGAAGAAGTTATGACCTGTCGAAGTTTCACGACAGAACCGACAACGTTGAATGACGTAAAAAGTGAAATTTATGTTAGAGAAATATTTAGCCTTAGTGATCTAAACGAAAGTCGTAGAGTTTGTTAAACCGAGAGCGTGCATAAAAAGAACGCCAAAATCTGACTTCGTATGAGGAAGTTATGATTTTTCGAAGTTTCGACTTAGTAGTATGCAGCCCGAAATACTCGATTTGAGATCGAGCGGTTTTTAGCCGAAACAATGTAAACGAGAATCGAAGATCTCGTTGTTGGTATCGAAGCGATGAAAAGTTAGACGAGAACGGACGTCAAACGAAGAAGTTATGAATTTATAACGAAGT